ACATCTCAAAGGGATGGGCAGGAAAAAGAAACAAGGTGTTTGTGATTCTGATGAGGCTGTGCTTTGAAAATAAGACCATATTGATCAGGTATTATATAATTTTAAATAATTCATTCCCTAACATTGTCTCAAACGATTCTTTCTTTTAGCTGTCCTTTCATAAATGTGGAAATCAAAAAGTATTACAGAGAACGTCGTAGTATTCCCATGTTGGAAGAATTTGACAAAAGATTTTTCAATGAATTCTTTTGTTATATCTTCCAACATGGTGGACATCTCTTTTGTTATTGTGCTCTCTTGGGATTGATTGCAAACCAAGAATTATAATACTACGACGTTCTCTGTGCTACGTTTTGACTTCCGCTAGAATATGTCATGATTGTAGTTGACTTAAACGAGGGCTAAGCTGTGAAAATGAGTCTGTGGTCTTTAAAAGCATTGGTATGCATGGAAGGCCAATTAAATTACTTGGAATGCAAAAAAGGGAGATAAATCGCTTCCATGTTTTTATTTTATTTTAATAGTTAAATGGTTATTACTGGGTTTCCTGTGGCAGCCCAGTCTAAAAATGTCTTTTGTTTTTTGTTTTTGTCTTCTTTTTGTCTTTTTGTCTTTTTGTCTTTGTTTTTGTGGTCACATCATGCAGTGAGTATCCCCCTCTCTGACCCCACCCCACCCCTTACGCATAGTACAAAAAGTTAAATCCATTTCTTTTTTTTTTGGTAGAGTGGTACAGTTCCTAAAGGAGAAAGTAAAGACTAGTAATGGGAGCTGGAGAATCAGTACTACTCCCTGCACCACCTGCAGATTTTAATTACATGGTGCTTATGCTTGTCGTGACTGATAAGATGAGGACGATATTTGGCACCCAAAATGAACTGTCCCTCATCAGACAGGCYGTCATGCAGAACTGGCCATTAGGCTTAACTGTGGAGAAGCCTAAACTTAGTTACTCATGGTCCTTTAAGTTAAATGGCTGTCCATTTGGATTAGGAACAAATGCTGTCCAGTCAGCCAGTACAAGACAATTGATGTGTCAAATCTTGCAAACGCTGAACAATGCTGGATGGGAGATGATAATAACCAGCGACTTGAGCCGATTWASTGACTTGACATCYTTTTTCTTTGTTCGCACKCAAATGCTGAAGCAAATGCAATTTCCTWTGCTGTGYGTGARCCTRAGCAGTAMAGACAAAYTCCAACTGGTCAATGYACCAAGTGATGTGGTTCAAATCATTAAGGCTATTGTYATGAAGGYATGGCCAAGAGGAATCCAATCAGAAGGCCCTAACGAAAATTCCTATGAAATAAAAATGGCAGGAAATCCCTGGTTCTCAGATGGAGATGAAGGAGTCCAGGCAAGGATACTCTTAGCCAAGATCACATCAGCACTTGCCCAACGACAGTGGATTTTGCATGCAGCCGCAAACATTAAAARTACAGCTGATAGTCTGTTTTTCAAGTATGACCCTGAAATGATCCCTGGAGAAGGTTCAGAGTGTTTTGTTATCAGTTTGAATCGAACAGACAGGTTACGAATCATCAATGCTCCACAGTCRGTCATTCCAGTTGTTCGAGAAACCATCATGTCAGTTTGGCAAGTGATGGGTGGGATTCAACAAGAGCAAGCATACCATGCAAGTTGGGAATTCAAACTAAAAGGAAGTCCTTGGTGGTCAAYTGGAAAAGAATCAGTCATGGCCAGATTWCTGATGTGTAAAATCMTTGAGGCCTTACAAARCAATGGTTGGAGTCTGCAGGCATCAATAGACATATCTAGGAAGTCTCAAGACAAGARTATATTGCTTTTCAGCAAATCACAGCCTAAATCTCAACCAGTAATGTGTCTTTCATTTAGTGACACAGACAAAATRCGGTTGATAAATGCCCCCCAAGAGTTCACTGGGGTCTGTAGAGACATCCTGAAAGCCAAATGGTATCAAGGAATATGCAAAGAGCAGCCTATGGGTACGTCTTGTTCAGCACACGAGTTCAAGCTTAATGGAAATCCTTGGTGCGGTGGAGCCTACTCATCTCAAGCCATACACATAAGAAGTATGTTATGCTACATTATCCAAGCTTTCAAAGCACATGGCTGGAAATTCCTCATATCAGCTGATGTTTCAGCCAGGTTCCACAAACCTAACAAGGGTCCTTCTTACCCTGTAGATGTGCACAGCTGGTGGTTTGTGTATGAGCCAGAATCTCCACCACTACAACCTTCAGCACCAAGCTATGGATTGTCAACTGGATCCTCAGCTTTCCCTCTCCCACCTAGTTATGATGAGGTGGTAAAACAATAGATTTAAAGGCACTTATTCTTCCTGATGCATCATGCAGTAGTACTGCAGAACAATAATTTAAAAGTGAACAGCAAACTAAACAATGCACTTGATACATGTTTCCTTCACCTCCTAGTCATATATTATGAGGTGGTTAAAAAATATTTATTTTTATTTGTATTTTTACTGTGCGAACACTCAAACCATATGAACACTTCAAGGTTTTTTACGTTTCTCAAATAATCCTGTCAAAAGCCAGAGTCTTTTGGGAGATGGTTGCCATTAAAGTTTTTTTTAAATTTACAATATTAAGTGTATCAATATTATTTCATAATAGCTACTTCGTCAATTTTTGTTTTATTTCTGTAAATTATTGAAAATTTGTACTTTGTAAGACAGTCAAGCAGTTCATTAGTTCACACGGAGTGAGCTAAAAATAAAGCATTTGTTGTCATTGGATGGCGCCTAAGAAATGTTTGATTTCTTTGTTTTTTCAGAGGGCTGTGATTGGATATTTATGGAAAAATGTCAAAAAAACCTTGAAGTGTTCATGGTTAGGGACTGTTCATTAATTATGCCTTGGGTGGGGGGTGCTGGAGGCAAAGTAGTAGAGGCTTTGAAAAAAAATTGGGGGGGGGGGGGGGGGGTTGAAACAAATAATATTAAGGTGTGTCAGAAAATTTCCCCAACAGTCTATTGCATTTACATAAAAGTAGTAACAACCTGGGCCTGGTTGTACGAAGCCTGGATAGCGCTATCCAATGGATAAATCTTATCCAGTGGATAAATTTATTGGATAACAGCATCGACATATCCACTGGATAAGGATTTATCCGCCGGATAGCGCTATCCAGGCTTCGTACAACTGGGCCCAGCTCACCAAAGTTACTAAACTGCATTTAGAAAAAATATATTATATAGCAATGATATATATATTATATATTATATATATTATATATTACAGTTTCGTGATCACCAAACAGAACTTTTTCAATCGTCACGTTGACAACGTTCTGTTTGCTGGATCATTTTTGGAAGTTATACCAGTTGTTGTTCTTGGTTTGAAGTTAGCACTAATGTATATTTTGTTAAAATCAAAGTTTTCAACGCAAGAAAATCGAGAAAAATCGAAAATTGTAAAAAATAAAAGTGCGCCCGATTCAGATGTGATGTAGAAAACTTGTTAACTCCTAAGAATCCCCAATTCATGACAAACAAAATATCAAAGATTTAAAGAAATTCTTGTTAGATTTGGAGAAAATCGAAGGAACATTTCATACTCTCAGTTTTGTTTGTCGCTTTTGCGCACTCGGTTTAAAAAATTACTATTGAATAAAATTATTCAAAAATATCCTAAAATGTTGCTGTTGCTCTTGTTTTTAAACTGTGTAAGTTTGGTCAACTAGTTCCTTGCTGGTCTTGAGAACGAAATTTTTTTCGAAGAACGTTTTAAGTAAAGATTTAGCAAAATCTTCAAAGTTTTGCGTTTTCCACGATTTCTCATAAACGGCTCAAACGATTGTTTTTTAAGTTTAGCTACGTCTCCTCAAGGATATATAATCTGTACCTGCAAAAGCTCATGTCGGTTGATTCATTCTAATAGTAAGTATTGCACAAATTTAGTGTTTGCACTCTTACAGATTTTTATAAATGTTTTAATAGATTGACTATATGTATTAAAATGACAGTTTTTGCTAATTGCTTCAATTTAAACACAAAAATATAGGTAAAAAATAGTATGCAAAACGTATTCAAGTACATTTTATGGGGTGGGGGTATTGTAGGGGGGGGGGGGGGGGGGGGGGTCAAAAAATTTTTTTAGATACAATTGGAAGGGTTGTGAATTTTTCCAAGGTTTTTTTGGATTTTTCCTCTAGCCCACCCTGAGGCATAATTAATGAACAGTCCCTTAGAGTGTCCAGACAGTAACATCATGATATATTCCGGGATGTGACGAATGCTAAATCTCCAAATTATGGTTTACAGTTAATTCGCCCTTGGACCAACTCGCCCACGCCAACTCGCCCACGCCAACTCGCCCACGCCAACTCGCCCACGTATAAAATCATTGATCATGCGTTTGCCTTTAGCGACATTTACATTGGTTTATGAGTCGCTTCATTCGTTAGCGAGTTAGTGTAGGCGAGTCTGTTATGGTGCATAAAAAGTTCGCGTTTGGAAGTCTTGAGCTTACAAGTGTCAAGTAAGGTTGGTAAATCACGGACTACTTTAATTTAGTCTTAATACACGGTTAGATAATTCTTAAAATTATTATAAACGTGGACGAGTTTGCATGGGCGAGTTGGCAAATGCATGATCAACTATTTTATGTGGGCGAGTTTTTGCAAACGCATGATCAATGATTTTATACGTGGGCGAGTTGGCGTGGGCGAGTTGGTCCGTGGGCGAGTTGACTGGTTACCCCAAATTCTCTTGCCAACATTGGAATACATTGTCTCCAAATAGATTGTCTAGAAATGATTTCAACATGAATGAAATGATGGAATGATAGACGATACCCTAGCTCTAGATTATTACAGATTATCTGTCACCAAAGACACCATGCATACCCATCTAAAATTTTGGCAACTTTCCAGTCTCAGTATGAGATTCTATTTTTTGTATTCGCAGTGACCTAGCCATGAAATCCAATTTTTCCAGTGCAAAAATACCACACATCCTATTTTGGCTCTTCACTAATGTCATTTCAGCCCAAAGCAGCAAATTAAATTTACATGGCTTCTTGAGTGGAATCAAGATTTTGAATAAAATTGTACTCGAGAATCTTTAATAGATTTTACCTCAAGAAAACACAGCACACTTTTTTATAATATATTTTATAGTAGCAAGTATATGAATTTCACCATTCGATAGTTTAATTGTTTTAAAAGAATTGATCAGAAACAACGTAAGAGACTATGGACATTTTCTATAGGGCATTCATTTATTGAATGTGAATATTTTAGGACTAAGTAATAAATACAATCATGTAAAATTATATAATTATAGCAACTGGGATTTATGTGGTTGAATGTACACAATTATTTTAATGTGCTTTTAATTTCTTAAATAAAAATCGTTTTCTAAAAAAAAAAACAACCTTGTATTTCATTCTACATTTGCACGTTTTGCCTAATTGACTTTTAACTCACAACACAAGTATACAGTATGTGTAGCATATGAAGCAGACTTGTTGCAACTTCAGTTTCCTATGGTGGGCCAGAGGCATTTGTCTGCACATTGTTGCTTATGTCGAGTGTGGATTTTGATCAATTACTGTAAATCATATTCAATTTCTTCTACCTAATTTGTGTATATTTTTGGAGGAGTCAATATGTCATTGTGAAGATTACAACCTTTAGCTTTTGACAGTTTTATTAATTTCACTGAGTGACAGTTCGCGGGACTTCTAGAAAACACTGTGCTCTTTTAGATGATCCTTTGATCTTGGTTGAAATTTGTCACCAAGAAAACAGTACTCACTTAGTAGAGGTACTTACAAAATTCAAACTAAAAAACAGCCAATCAGAGAACACGAATACCAGAAGTTAAGGCCCTTGTCATGACAAAAATAAAAACCTAGTTTAGCCTATTTAACCTAATTTAGAACCTATTTAATTAGGTGTAAGTCACATAAATAACAATCTTTTTTAACTGATTTGGGTAAAACATGGTTCAAGTACATTTTCACAAGTTGCCTTCCATGTCACTATTTTGTAGTTTGTCGCTTCTCCCATTGGTATGTATCACTGTATATGAAACCATGTTTCTTTACAAGTTCGTCAGACTCTGCTGGACCACGACTGTAAATAGAGTGAATACACAAGACCCACTGTAAATGCCTATTTGATTATTGGTTTACTAAGACTACTAATCGACTGAAAATGTACTTTTCACAAACATACACACCAGTATTTCGAAAACGTTTGTCAGAGCCAAAGGGGATAGGAGATAGGTCATTCAGAGAACCAAGAATAGTTGTAATGACTTGTGTTTCTTCTTCTTCTTCTTGTCAAGAACATGGGGCTTAGGGTCTAGATATCCATTGTTGTCTATTGCCTTAATTCCTCCTTTGGCTCC